CGCTCTACATTCGTCATTTCCTTCACAGTGAGCATGGGGGTAGGGGCAGCGGGCTTCTACCTAGGTAGAGCTGGACCATCGGGTCAACGATGGATGTTCCATGCTACCCCCACACGATTCGTCTCCACAGGTAGTACTCGAGTTACGTACATACAAGGTTAGTTAAGGTAGTAATAAGGAAACGGCTTGCCTTTTATAAGATTAAATGGATTATTTCCTCCTTCCATTGGGCAATGGCTTTAACCCTTCATAGAGGTCATTCGGCACTTGATAATATGATTAACTAATTCGTACTAATAAGCAGCAAGCCAGTGTATACGGCCGCTATGGCGGATTGCTTACTGCTAAGCTCACAGCTTAAACCTCTAGACCAAATCACTTAACAATTAGGTATGTCGACCACTTTTTCAGTGTCTACCTGCCACCTACATATTGTATGCTGTGACGAACCTATGCCTCAAAGAGGTATAGTCGTCACTGGATTGACTAATCCGGGTGTCTTGATTTGAAGGTAATAGTATCAATAATAGGTCAAATGATTGGGTAAGTTCTGTTCGTCAGAGAGGCTTGGAGTCCTCTCACTATACTCGAAAGAATAGTCTTAGATTGATAACTGAAGAGCTATGGAAAGAGTGACTAGATACATAGGAAATATCTGTGGTTATATAGTTGTTCCTCCTTCCACTCCTTAGAGTCTGTTGTTACTGTGATCTGGTTGATCTGATTGATCTGGGTGATCTGGTAGTTGATCCGTCAGATCATCTTGATTAGGTTGATCGTATAGATTATCCATGGTTTAGCCGTGATTGGATCGTACTGTCTCCACCTAGGCCTCCCCAAAGAGGCCGTCTGGATGTTGGTTGTGACACCTAGGTAGGTAGATAATCATGATGGTGGTATTTAAAATGAGGATTAGAACAGTAAAGATGTGCCAGGTTTACTTATAATTATTATTGTAACGTTTTCAAAGATTAGAATATAGATCTGATGTATACTTATGATGTTAGGTTAGGTATTAGACAATAGGTTATGGTAATTATAATGAGAGATTAACACCGTCCCATCTGCTAAGCGCCGCTGGTGGTTGTAGTGGATAAATGTTGGGTCCGCCGCCGGGAAACATAGTGATGCGATGATCTGCTGCCATAGCGAATCGCTGATCAAGTCCGGGCGAACGTTTCAATAGCTAATGATGGTTTAGACATATATTATTCCTATCATAGCAAAGGCCTTAAAGCAGGATCGTTGTGCCGAGTTTAAGGCTTGTTACGGGCCTGTTTGTCGGCCTATAATTAATCTCTGTTGCAGCAATTGGAGACATTTGCTGGTCTTACTTAGGCCGTTTATTGAAAGATTCCAATAATAGGCCATATCGTTCCGAGATTTGGTGCTTGACTTTAGTTGCTAAACATACCCTCCCTTATTAACGAAACCGAAAAAAAGGTTAAAAATTTAAAATTAAATAGAAATAAAATATATGAAAAATATATATATAAATATAATAATATTTTTGTTAAATTTAAATATTATTTTTATAAAGTTTAAATAATACCAATATTGAATCCAATGTCATTCAACCGATGCTTAAACAAAGTAAAGTAAACCTTACCCCTTAACTTAAAAAACTAGCATCTAATATAAATAACTTAGATGGCCGAAGTAAAATCGGTGCAGGGTCCGCCGCCCGAGTCACACAAGGTGGTATATTCCGATATACCTAATATAAGAAACTCCTCATTTGATACACAAGATCGAATTCCTGAGACTTTATCCCTCTTAAGAAAAGCATGCGATATGTTGGAAAAGCACCAATGCCACGCAGGCAACTTTGAGATTGCGTACTGGCAAGAGCACCGTAAACTGCAAGAAGCTATTGAGGCCAACGGGATCCTCACCCATCAGCTGGAACAGCTTCGAAGTCAACCATTGTACAGACCATACGTAGCCCCGAGTTACCTAAGTACACAACACGCTATATATCCTTTGGAGACAATAAACGAAGAGAGGGGGCCGGCTGGGGAGGAATCTTACTGTATGCTGCAACCGAGCAAAACCGTAGCACCTGCGGCTACGGGAGATACAGGCCTCCAAGCTAGAGCGTCTGACAGCCCAAATGCCAGTCAAGTAACGAGGACATATCCATCTCATATACCGATATGTCCATTAGAACAAAAGATACCATCGGAACCGGACCATACAACACCACCGCCGCAGAAGCGTCCAAAACGCAAGGGAGCTGGGTTAAGGAGGACTATGGAGGCAGCCCTATCATCAACGACTTGACACGGAGCATTTCGTCCCGCTGTTTCTTATTTTCTTATATCAAGAAGTTTGCGAAGGGGTCAGAGGGTGACATGCGGAGCGTGCGTCCATTTTCATAGCTAATTGTATGTATAGCTTGACGCTAATTAGGATAAAGGGCTTAGGCTTTTATACTTATAAATTATAGGTAATTCATATAATAAGATTATTTCACACTTTTAAAAGATATTTTTTTATATAAAACACTTTTATGCTCGCCTCCATAACCGAATATTAGCTTGAGGATACAGTATGCGGCTCCACATGTATCCATTTTAGTCTCCCGGAAATCCGTCGCGCGCTACGCAAAGCATCCCCCTTTACTCTAAAAGGATATCACCCTTACTAACCTCTCGGCGACTCGCCAATTCTCCTAGCCAATGTCTTCCAAGCCGATCCAAAGGTTTTGCGGCACTTCTAACCGTAGTCAGGGATCGACAATTCACCCAGTTAAACCAATTGCCTTCTGTCCTCAAATATCTATTTTTATTAATGGGGTCAAGTGAGGTTGCAGCTCGGGATACCTTTGGCAATATGTTCTCGGACTCGATTTGTTAGATATGTATCTATGTATTGTTATATAGAGTAAAGCCTGGTCTATCATACCCCTTCCAGCTACCTTACCATGTACGGCTCCAACGCGGCGGCGAGTTGGTGTCCAGAAAGAGGCGGTTTGCAGTCATTAGAATATAGAGAATACATGAGATTCTTTTTCTTCAAGATATGCCATACCGCGCGTCACAAACTAGTTTAGGGATAACCAGTTGAGCCATAAAGCAAAAGCTTCCCAGTGACCAATTGGTCACTGTTCCCCAATTCTGTATTATATGTGTTACCCCGCAGTCTGGAACGTAACAACAAGGAAGGGACGTTATATATAACGTATAATAGATGGATTTTTATAAGGCCGGAAGCTGTATACCATCCCATAGCCACAGTTCAGTTTCTAAACGTGGAAGCTTTTTTATCCTATTTACATTTTATTTATTATAGATCGCCTTTATTAGAAACAATGTGTTAACTTTTTAATGTCATATCCGGGATGAGAATCGAAGTGTTGGCTATACGGTTACATTGAACTTTTACCATCCATGTTCTTATCATTTATTGGCTTTTTAATAAGGCGTTGGCTTCTTATGGAGGTGTGGAGGGCCCGTATTGTATCCTTGCTTAGGTAGCGAGTCTTTTCTATCAATTTGTCTTATTCCGCGACGATTTGGGCGATTTGCAGTAGCGTATCCAGGTTGTCGGGACCACGAAGAAACGTCTTTTACAGCAACCCGCCGGGTTTCCGCCCTAGACCGAGGGTATTGCCTTTGTTCGGAGGTTTCTTATCGTCCTTAGCATTCGAACTACTTATTACGTAAAAGGGGAGAAACTTGCTACGGAGGAACTTTGTATAAGGCTTCGGCTGCAAGTAGAACTGTCCCCTTTAATTCCGGAGTAGCAGGTTCTATTCTTGGCCTGCCTTGTGATGAGATGAAGAAGCGAAATCGCGTTGGGAAGCTGTCTCTATATGGGATACGATTATTTTTGTTCCCTTCATTCCAGCTCAGACAACCATCAATAGCTATTTAAAGCACGGCGCTTAACATTGTAACCCAAACTTGATGACCTTAGTAAAACAGTCCCCACTTCGAAATCGAAGTACATCATACACGTTTATCGCTTTCTTTGTTGGCCGTTCCCCCCCTAAGCCAAGGATAACGTTGGCCGCTGGTAAGAACGATGGCACGTGAGACTCTCAGCGTGATGTTTTCGCGTCTCTAAGCTGCGCCTCTTCATCTTGGCTAACACCTTCCCTACGGAAGGACGAGATGAAGGCAATGGCCAAGTTCCGAGACAGACCCTAAAAATAAATAATCTATCCGCAATAAATAGGAAACGCCCTGTATATAATATACGCGCGCTCACCGGCATAGTCCTGAAGAAGGAAGCCGTCGAGCAGCGAAGATGTCGAGTAACCAGGACGTGACCCAATGGGATATGAGGAACGGGATAGACCCTAATTTTACCACTTACCACGGCTGCGCAAATTGTAATTCTTGCTTCCCCGCGGCGGACGTGCTATGCCCCTCCTTGATCGACGCTACAAGCGCCTCGACAAACACCCCAAGTCTACAAGCCGGCGATTACGGCTGGGGGGGTTTCTTTTCGGGTCAGATAGCAGGAGACGAGACTCGACTAATGTCGACTGTGCGGGATGGGATAGGGAGGAAGGAGCAAGGAGACGGCACCGCACACGGTTCACGGCCAAGTGGCCACGCGGATAGTCTTGAAGCGCGAACAGCAATGCAGGAAGCCGTTCCCCAAATTATATCCGAGATCGTACCGAAGGTTATGGCCCAGATCGAAGACCAAATCCGAGAGAAAATCAAAGATCAATTCGAAATGCAGCTGGCCGATCTTAACACAAGGTTAGCTGGTCCTCGCTAGAAAGGGGGTAGCGGTTGCTAATACCACAACAGGATGCAAGACGATACCGCCCGCTTTAGCCAGGAAACCAACGAGAACATTCAAAAACTAAAGGTCTGGTCGGATCGCCTCGAATTATTTGTAACAAAGTTGTTAAGACAGCAGTAGACAGCGGTAAAGGCTGGTATTAATCTGTTAAGGAGTATTGGTTTGGCCTAAGTAAGGAATATCGACATCGGTAAGAAGGCTTCTAGAAGTAGATTGGAAACTGTCTTTTCCGAAGGTAGGGTGCTATAAGCCTCCTATAGTTTTATATAAAGTCTCCCAATCCACTGTCCCACCATGATACGGTCCGTTTATTCATCCTTCTTACTACTTTTATATCATACTAGTTAGATCAGTTCCAAAATTCTTGAGAATGTTCCGGCTTGATGTAGACTGACATGAACCATTTTAGAAACAACTAGTTAGGCCATAAGGCAAAAGCTTCCTAATAATTAGTTGGTCATTATTCCCCAATTCTATATTATATGTGTTACCTTGTACTTGGTCGGTAACATGAACGTTCTATTCTGTTAGTTTCGAATTGAATATTTTGTTAATATGTTGTATGTTGGTTAAGAAGCTTCTACAATTTACATGTTCTAGAGATTTTATTTGTATAATCGCATTCTTATATGATGAACTTATTATAATTCTTTACCTATCTTGGCTTTTAAGTTGTCTAAAGTAAATATCTGGCACGTGCTTTAAAACATCTAATCCCCAGATCTTTTCCGCCACAAGTTGATGGAAGAGATCTTCTTCTTCCGAACCGTTAGTTAAAGAAAACCGTAAGCCTTGCTTCTTCGTCGGATTGTTGTCCTTTGACGTCGAAACAAAATATAGGTCCGCGATCTTTTCGAAACGAATATCGGGATATGAAAAAAGCATCTCAAGTTCGTAAGCCCAGTTATCGGTCATGTCAATCGCAATGGCGCTTATCATCCTGGATGCCGGATACCGAAGAGCGAATAAACCGTATCCAACCGGGGGCGTCGCGAGATAAAGTATATCGAATTGACTAAAAAGGATTGATGGACAGCGGCAACAATAGGTCAGAGTCATAGGTCGTAAGCATGTGTAGAATCTCAAGGCCTCGTAGCGAGACTCGCGGCAGATCTGGAGGACGGTCGGGTACTCAGACGGGGTGAAAGAGAAGGCAGAGAAACGTATTATCTGGCAACGACTTTCATCATTAAATCCGACTTTAATTACCCGACGCGGAATTGCCCAGCGCCATATCTCACACCGGATCTCGGCAGGCAATATCGAAAAGCCGGCTGACCCAGATGGTTGCGCCATGTCGGTGCCGACCGAATGAAGAACTAACGACGTAGTAGAGGGAATCGACAGGTGTTTTCGCGAAGAGTAGCATTTACGAAAATATACTCCCTTTCCCTCGACTTCTTTTCACGCTCCCTTGTTCTTATATCGGTAAGGCCGAGGATGGAAGCCATCCTAAAAGAGATCTCCTTAGCCGGCAGACGGAGACCGCTTTTCCCGAAGGAAGGGAGATTCGGTACGAAAGGGCAACCAAACCAGCGGCTGTCGGGAATTCCCCTTTCCTGTGCCAACCAATCATAATGAAACTGAACCTTCTTAGTTGCTCCTATACCTAACCTACGTAATCATAATTCTATATGGTGGATTAGCTGTGAGGGCTGTGGGTGGTGATAAAAAGGCGTTAAAAAAAGAACAGCCTGGACAGCCGGTTTTTAAGTCGGGACTAGGTCAAATCACTAGGGGAGGAAGTTAATAGGAGGTAAGCATTAGAAGTATTCCTTAATAGTTCAAATGGCTTTAAGATTATTATATTAAAGGGATATATATTTTATAACCTTTTTATATTTGAATTTTACTTAAACAATATTAAATAAATTTAGCATTATATAGTACCGTAATAGGAATTGATAGTGATCCCCAGCTTGATATTTATGCTTATTTCAGGAGATAAATTTCGAAACAAAGATGGACAATCCTTTATTCCTTGCTTCGGCAAACGGGTTAAGAGATATGAATGCAGGCTTTATGTTTTGTTAAGGTTATACTTATTTTTATATTTATAATATTATACTAAGGGCGAAGGAGTACCAGGGCCAAACAATAACGTATTAAAGCTATGCTTATTAGGGGTAAAGAGCGATCTTTTCTTTATTAGGTATATTATAGAGCCCAACCGTTACGTTGCTTAACTTTAACAGATCTACCAGCGTTAATACAACCAAACTGTCGGATCGACCACAGGGATACGCGTAATATATTCCATGCCGCCTTCCCAGGCAATTTACCCCCCAGGTCTTATACCAATAATACTCGAGTTACGTATATCTAGGACCAGCTAGGACAGTCGTAAAATAGCTTCTTACCTTTCCTGCGTCGAAACCCATAATCGCCTCCTTTCTTCGGGAAATCACTTTCAACCAGCCAACAAAGGCCATCTCCCTTCATAGACGCCTATTCTCCCTCCTCGCTAGGATCGTTCGTTCAGGTTGAGGCGCGCTACGTATCTCCGTGAAGGTGAAGGGATGTTCGGATCTGCACCCATACCTACTAAGACATGTCAGGTTCATTCGAAGTCTTCGGCCCTATACATCTAACCCCGCCTCTAATTCACGGCTCTTAATGAAATGTGTCTACTAGTAGGCGATAAGCTAGGGCAAGAGAAAAGATGGTGCCTGTTGAGGTCATGGTTTGAATTGCTGTATCGACACTCTCGAACGACCTTCCCGAACTTCGGCTCGCTAGCCGTCACTGTACGTCCACCACTTTTCCAGCGTTGGCCCGCCACTTATAGATTTTACCTACTGTGTGTTTTCTTTTAATTGTCAAGGATAAAAATGGAGACGGATCATTCCAGGATGATTCTACCGCGTCCAAGCGCAGACGATAAGGATTTCCAAGTTCAAAACTGGCTAGAAAGACTTCCCGTCTGCGGCGACGATACGTTTCGGTGCGAGCTCGATGAGACGCGATCAGAGTTGACTCGTCTCACCCAGGAGCTTGACGCTGTACGGGGCAAGTACGAAGCTTTAGGAATAGAGTACAGCAAGTTATTCGCGCAATATCAAGCCGTCCTGAATAGACACCAAGACGTCGTGGGGAGATACCAGGTCCTTCAAAGCCAATGCCGCCGTGCTTGCGCCGACCTTACGAAAGCTTTCGACCATAGGAGAGAGCTAGCTTTTGTTCGGGAAGAGCTGCAGGAACAAATATCTCTTCGAGAGGCTGCCGAGAATTCCGAGAACTACTTTCGGGGCGTTTGGGAGAAGTATACCGGTGTTGAATACAGGTCGATACGGGAGCCGGATAAACGTGACGGGGTTATTGAAAGGCTAAAGCAAGATATTCGAAGAAAGGATGCCGAACTACGCGATCTAAGAGGTGAAGTGGAATTACTTAAGAAGCTCATACAAGAGACGCCGCAAGCCCCTGAGAGTCTCGAAGCAGACGATTACAAGGTCCCTAAATTGGAAAAATCTTAACTTTCGTTAGAGGAGATTTGTGAAGCTTCTGATAAGGTTAAGGCCGAGATAACCTATTATTAAATCGCTTCCACCAAAGGCTCGATTGAGAAAACCACCAAGTTATAATCTACTATAAGCATGGATAATTTCATCAATGGCATCGCCAACGTTCGTGGCTTCATCCACCGAGCGCCTGCCTTTTTCACCACTATATTCCCGAAAAGCCGCAACAATATATTCCGCCATACCCATCAATTTGATATCCTTTTGCCTTATTTCTTGGAGATAGTATATATTGTGCTGTGTTAAAAGCGTAATTTTCTGGCAAATTTCCAAATTTTGCAAATTATATACTAGAACTTCCTGTTATAATTCCTTATTTTCTTTGTCAAGAATATCGATATATTTTTGAAGCCTCTGGATGGTCCGTTCTTGGGTTTCTTGGATAAGTGGGTTTACAGATAAGAGCACACGTCGCTGCGACAACGGCAACGGTGGTACCATTTTTGGTGATGGTAAGGCGGGGAGGGGCTTGTTTTGAATTTGCGTCATTGCTTGTGTATCTTCCGAGCCTGAACGTATCCTATAAATGAAAACTGTTCATTTATCCGTTAACGAGGTGGTAGTGTTTATCTTGTAATAATATACTGATAAAATAGAAAACCTTATATTATATCTTATTTTTAAGTATTATTAATACTTGGATACAATTATATATTTAAAAACTTAGATATATGATTTTTCTGGTCTAAAAGCCGGCCTTATAAAGTGTGACGAACCTATGCCTCGGAGAGGTATAGTCGTTGCTGGATTGGCTAATCCGGGGTGTCTTGATTTGAAGGTAACAGTATCAATAGTAGGTCAAGTGGTTAAGTACGTTCTGTTCGTCAGAGAGGCTTGGAGTCCTCTCACTATACTCGAAAGAATAGTCTTAGATTGATAACTAAAGAGCTATGGAAAGAGTGACTAGATACATAGGAAATATCTATGGTTATATAGTTGTTCCTCTTTTCTTTCCCTAGAGTCTATTATTACTGTGATCTGGTTGATCTGGTCCCAGATCATACAGATCATACAGATCATACAGATCACCTCAGGTCATGTGGATAAGCAGAATCGTAACCTTCCGTAGTTCCTCCATGATTGGCCTGGTGATGGTTATATTGACAATCCAATCTTATACCTATGTATATATACATATAAATAGGTAGCTCTCTGCAGATATCCTCAGAGGAAGAGTCTTTCTTCCTTAGATAACTTAATACACATTGTTTCATCCCTATTATTTCGTTCTTTCTTTATCTTTATTTTGCTTCACTTATGTATGTACCTACCAACACCTGGGGTGCCTCTACTTCTGGTTCTTTAATTGTTGCCTGATGCTGTTGGTTCGTGACATATTATTATGGTAATTTCTTTATAAAATCTATAGGTAAGAATGGATATTATTCTGGTAAATTTATCTATATATTTATGACTTATTAAATAATAAAGGTACTTCATATATAAATAATGAATATATCTTATTATTATATTAATATTTAGCTAGGTAGGTAATATTTATAAAATAGGAATTATATCTGGTTATCCTGTGGTAAAGCTTGTTTCAGGGGAAGTGTAGCTTACATAAGGAAATATGTCACAAACCAACCCTTGCATTACAATGAACGGAGAAGGGCCAATCACGGCAAAACCTCGGATGAGGAATTTCTGCTCTTGTAGGGTGACAGAGCAGAACAGAGCAAGTCAGAGTAGAAAGGGATAAAGGAGGATATTAAATTATATAAACTATCAGAATTCCCTATGTATCCAGTCATTCTTTCTATAGCTCTTTAGTTATCAATCTAAGACTATTCTTTCGAGTATAGTGAGAGGACTCGAAGCCTCTCTGACGAACAGAACCTACTTTACTATTTGACCTATTATTGATACTGTTACCTTCAAATCAAGACACCCCGGATTAGTCAATCCAGCAACGACTATACCTCTTTGAGGCATAGGTTCGCCACAGATTATCATCACCGATTAATTACCATTTGCCATAAAATCAGGAACCAAGACGCTGCGACGAAGCCTAGATATTGGCTGTAGGGTCGCCACACATCCTTACTACGGAATGTGTCGGAGACATCGATGTATCTCTGGATCTGGCGCCCAAGGATGTTCTGGGCAACCTTGATAGCCCATTGCTAACTCGTTCTCCGTGCCTCCGGCGACCTTCCTGAATTGGCGAAGTCGGCTCCTAGATAGCACCTGGACCTCAAGTTGGCTGGTTATGGCACAGCGGAATACGTAATGGTGGAATTCATCTGCTGCGGGGGCATACTTGGGATCGTCGAACGGGTGCTCTTCGTGTCGCCGGTGAACCCTCATGGGTATTGTCCAGTAAGGTTTAATTTGGGGAAACGTTCGATATATATCCACCATTGACGATGCTGTGCCTATAACCGGCGTCTGTCCCGTGTCAGACGTGTCTTCCTCTACGAGCACCACGTCTTCCAGTCCAGTGATGGCCTTTTCCCAGTTTCTGACATAATTCAGGATCTCCCAACTGAACAATGGTGGGATAAACTTTAAGCCAAGGGAACGTAAAGGTCGAGAGATTTCAGGACAGATGACAAGCCACAACAAGAAATTATCGACGCAGAGTCGATCCTCCGAGAAGTTGAACCAGACACGCTTGCTGTGGACCTTGCCCTTAGTATCGGGGACCGGAAATGCGAGCTCAAGGGGCCGGATCCTTTGCGCCTCGGCTCGCGACTCTCGACAGATCTGGAGGATGACTGGTGCTCGTGTATGTCGTTGTATCCCCACCGAGACATTCCGGGGGCCCGGAAGACAACATTTCCATATTAAAACGCGGAGCTCTGGAGGGAGGTCGGTAAAGCCAGGCATCGCATAGGCTTAGAAAACTCAAAGATATTAAAATGGGCGAAATAATGCAATGGGATTACGAAGGTGATATAAAGCTTTAGAAGGAAAAGAAGACCAAACGCAAACTTCTATAAAGGTACTAGGATTGTATATGCTTCCCATAGGTTCCCTCACAGCTACTGGGGATTCTTTAGCCTTTGATTTATCACTTTCCTTTGGGGAAAGGGGGAGAAAGGGGGAGAAAGGGAAAGGGAGGGGAAGAGGGAGAGAGAGAGAGACAGTTATATCAACCGGCGAAAACGTCGCCTTTCCGAGCCGATTTCACTATTATCTCGCCGGGAAGGGATGCATAGTCATCCTCCACGCCTTGGCCTCAAAACTGTACCCTTGTGTCAGCCTAGGCTCCCTTGGTTCAAGGGAAAAGGCCTTTCACAGCTGGTTAGATTCAATTTACAAGGACGAGCCTCGAAACCACATTACCGACCATAACTGCCGAATGCTGCCTGGCTTAAGTAGCGCGGTACTACGTGCAGGCAGAGGGAGAGGCGTAAATGCGCATACTTAACAGCGCCCTGGTAAGGACAGAAGGAGAGAAAGGGGAAAGGAAAAGAAAACGAAGAGGACTGCGAGTCGATACACAATTACGATAGAAACTCCGCTGAGGTCCCAATTATACCTATGAGATTGTTTATACTTAGCATTTATTTAGAAATATAATATAAAAGGGTAGCTAGGTAGTCTTAGTTAAGAGGACTTGGATTGGGCCCTCTCATAGCGGACGATAACGCGAAAAGGGCCAAAGCATCAATCATTTAAAAAAATCACACAGTATATTCGCACAGTGTATCTTTCATTGACGCAGCATTTATAAAATGCACTGTAATTACAGTGTATATAACGTTATAAGAAATAATAATTAAATAAATAAAAATTATAAAATGTGTTATAAATGGGACGCGATTACGAAAGGGGATCCACACGATATCTTAGCTCCTTCAGATCCTAACCCATTCCCTTAACTTAACAGCTTCGATTAATGATTCACCCCTTCGTTCGGGAAGCGGCTTCTAAATTGCCGATAGTTAAATGGCATTCCCATTTACGGCACCTTTGCCACCATCATTGCCGATAAAATTCAGATAGTGAAACATAGCTGGGATGGTTTAAGGTGACATTCTAGGCTGTAGATAGAACATAAAAGAGGGGTTGCTTGGCGAAGGCTTATATGATAGGTAACCGGTGGTTAAATCATTTATCCTCCCCGTCTTCCTTTAGCCTGTCCCAACAGTCTGGTTACGCTGATGTTTAATATACCTAGGTATTGACTAAGGAATGCGACATGTGGGCTTCTTGCCTGATCGAGAAAGAGCCTGATGATTATCCTAGTGAATAAATGTTTAGAAGGCTTACCGCGCTGAAGCTAGCCCAGCCATCGGCGACCCGTATTAGACAGCAAAGAAGTCCGGCCTGTGGACCTATTAAAGATTGAGCTAGCCAGGATATCTTATATACCTAGATATATAATATAAACTAATATATTAACCACCTAGGTACCTACCCGGCTTAGGTTAGGTACGTAGTTGGCTCTATTAAATAGCTGTAGTAATTATCATCACTTATACCGTTCCTAGCATATATATATAGATATTTCTATTTTAATGTTGTTGCAGTGAATGACCTCATCATTAATGTATGATAGGTTGTTGGTAAAAACGCGTCGAGGAGACTTTAAAAAGCTTGGCGATGCATATTTGTGACGAACCTATACCTTGGACTAGTATAGACGTTATTGAATCGACTGATTCGGGGGTCTTAATTTTAAGGTAACAATACTGGTTGTAGGTCAAGTAATAAATAATTCTGTTCGTCAGAGAGGCTTGGAGTCCTCTCACTATGTCTTTCAATGCTGAGAGAATAGTCTTGGATTGATAACTAAAGAGCTATGAAGGGAGTGACTAGATACATAGGAAATGCTTGTGGTTATATAGTTATTCCCCCCTTCTTCTGGGTTTGTCGTGATCTAGATGATCTAGATAGTCCCAGATCATTAAGATCACTTAGATCAAAGGTTCCGTGGTTTAACCGTGACTGATGTCTCCACTTCTTGGGTCTTCAGGCTGGCCGCCTGTTTGTTGCTTTGTGACAAAATTATTTATATATAAAATTTTATTTTAATTAAAAATTTAATAAATTTATTATATTTCTTTTTAACCATTTGGAAATTTTTTAGACCTTATTATAATTATAATTCTTTAATTATCAATTTAAGATTATCGATCATCAATAATGAGAGGATTCCAAGCCTCTCTTATAAGCAGTACTGTATTCTTTAACTTGACCCCTATAAGTACTATTACCTTTAAATCAAGACCCATTCTATACGACTATACCTTAGCCAAGTTATAGGCTCGTAACAATTACTTAGTGTTCTTAGTCGAGTTTAAGATATGCGAAGGTGCATATATATATAGGTAGAATCCATGGTAGACAATCGTAGCCGATGCCCAGGGGACTTCTAAGCTGCATGCTAGTCTTGCAACTAATCCAAAAGCCATGAGTTCAAGCTGAACAATGTATAAAACATGAGGAATGTATGGTTTGTGGAAATAGTTCTCGGCCACAAGAGCTTGCCATAATAATATAACAGCAACATACTACTTTATTGTTAGGAACGAAAAGACGAAAAGATTGGAGACAGACCTCGATGAATGTGGTATAGAGCAAAGAAAGGGCTTCAATGACCGTAGATAAGATATCGTTCTCGAATGCCACATAAAAGCCGAACAGTGACGCATTCATAATGATGAAACTGGGAGTAGACCATCTGAGAAATCAACGTGCCTCATCAAATAGAAAGAAAGCCAGTTGAATGCTATGCAAAGTAGTCGCGAAAGCGAAAGTGACGGCAACACCAACGAGCGTTGGGGAACCCATATTGAACTGTCTGGTATGGTCCTAGGAAGACGGTCCTGAATCGAATTGCAACGATTTATATTCCTCAGTCTCTTGTCTTTGATACTTAACCCTCTGAGTCTGTGATTCGGGTCAGAAACCGCCCATTGAAGCATTCCCCGGATAAGCGCCAAGCTTCCAATGCCATCCTGGCCGTGCAGGGCCTGAGAGGCGTGGGCGTAAAAGTAATCTCGTGGTGCGGATCACGCAGACACGCCGATGAGGCCATGTACTCCAACCCATTCGCTCGTTGTCAATCTCATCGCACACCCCCCCCCTTCCCCCCAAACCATCATACACCCTACCATATACACATCGAATCTCAAATCTATGCATCAATACTCCACCCCACCACTCCACTTCACTTTCCTTCACTTACATTTTCCTTCGTTCTGGTTGGCTGGATGGTCGAGGACTTACATCTTGAACCCGCATGACGCACAATGCTACCAGGCGTCCCGAACTAAAATCTGGAACTATGATATTACCCCTTGTCGACGCATAGCACGGTGGCGATCTTCTTTGGCTTTATCTCAGTCTGGTATAGAACGGTATGAAGACATTCCCGCTGGATTTGTGTTCTTCTCCCGGCTCAACTGTGTTTTACACATCCATTAAGTCGTTTCATCTTAAAAGAAGAGTAGATAGCCCTCAGCCTATTACACTTCCTTTTACTGATTAAGGTAGGCTTTCAAAATCACCAAGATTTCTATTACGTCTTAACCCTTTTCCGATATCTGCTGCCATGGAGCTCCCATCACTCGTATCTATTCTCCGTCTCTCAAGTACACGTGGGAGCTCCCAAGTTATCTCGATCACCTTTGACCGACTCCCTCCTATAAACCACAGCCTTGTCCCAATGGGGGCATCTCCAGGGCTCATTCTAACACAAACACATGAGTATACGACCATCAAACACGTTCCTCTGACTCTCGAACAAGGCTGCGTCTTCCATAATGTATTTCAATCAATTTCCCGGTCTTATTCCGTTGCACATACCCATACCTACTTCGCCTTCAAGCCTGCACCAAGACAATGGCTCAGTACGTGGGTCTATACAACAATGTATCTGCTCCAATCATCGAGCGTGAAAGTGAGGAAGGCCTGGGTGAAAGACCTCCAGAAAATATTCGATACATTCCCACCAGAGTAGTTCCACGAAAGGCGCAAATACCAAGCACAAGCAGAGACCCTATTGACTGCCGAGGACCTCGATAGAGTATTTAAGGTCACCGTCGTTGCCCTCACCGTCCTCGCTACTGTCATCCCCGAAGTTGATTTTAATAACTGGTGGGTAATATTCGGTTTTATCGCCCTTTTCCAGCTCTCGGATGATGTCTGATTTTGAGAGGCCTTTGGTAGATTCACCACGAGCCCTCAACTCCCGCTTAAGCAAGCGTAGATCCCAGATCTTGTATTCTCGACCCCTTTTGTCTTGGCTGTCGAGTTTGTTTCAAGCCCCTTAGTTTTACTAGCGCTTTCAATGTCCCAATAGAGTGTTTTTTATATGGATCCGCCATTTTGCTTCGGTGTCGGAATTGAGAAAACTACCTACCTACGTAGGAGGTAGGTATTTATATTGAAGACATCATAGACACTTAGTAACTGGAAACTTGATACAAGAAGCCTAAAACAGGAAACTCAATTTTAGAATATCGTATCTCAGCATTCAACACTCCGTTATTCGTTAACACTCAATCCATTCCATCCTCCGCGTACGAGTTACCTTTCCTAACTCCAATACATTCACGGGGCGAAAGTATTCCTCAAATCTCTTATGATGTCCCCTCTCACTGCCTTCGCAACGCAAAGGGCATTTCAGTGAGTAATTGTAAAGCTGAGATAGGCTGTCGAAGGTACTCGCGATGTTTTGGGCACTGACAGCGTAGGGTATCATCTTTCACGCATCCTGAGCACAACACCTTCAGAACTGTCAGTACAAAGCTGCGAACCAATCTAAAAATACTTACGTCGCCGCCTTGCTCGAGAAAATGAGAGAGAGAGAAGACGAGGAGGTACTTTTATATGGATTGTGACCACTCGCAATTGAATGTTTGAAGGTCTGTCAC